TGGGAGGCCAAGGTGGGCAGATCACGAGGTCAGGAGTTCAAGACCAGCCTGGCCAAGATGGTGAAACCTCATCTCTACTAAAAATAGAAAAATTAGCCAGGCGCTTGTAATCCCAGTTACTCAGGAGGCTGAGGCAGGAGAATCGCTTGAATCCGGGAGGCAGAGGTTGTGAGCCAAGGTCACTGCACTCTAGCCTGGGTGACAGAGCAAGACTCCCTCTCAAAAAAAAAAGAGCGATGGAGTCTCGCTATGTTGCCCAGGCTGGTCTGAAACTTGTGGGCTCAACCACCCCACAACTCTCATCTTGGCCTCCTAAAGTGCTGGGATTACAGGTGTGAGCCACAGTGCCTAGCTAATTTGATTTTATTTCTTAATAGTATTAAAAACTAGAAGATCTGGTCGGGCATGGTGGCTCACGCCTGTAATCCCAGCACTTTGGGAAACTGAGGCAGACAGATCAACTGAGGTCAGGAGTTCGAGACCAGCCTGGCCAACATGGTGAAACCCCGTTTCTACTAAACATTCAAAAAATTAGCTGGGCATGGTGGCGCACACTTGTAATCCCAGCTACTTAGTGGGGCTGAGACAGGAGAAGCACTTGAACTCTGGAGGCAGAAGTTGCGATGAGCTGAGATCACGCCCCTGCACTCCAGCCTGGGCAACAGAGTGAGACTCTGTCTCAAAAAAAAAAAAAAAAAAAGTTGGGCATGGTGGCGGGCACCTGTAATCCCAGCTACTTGGGAGGCTGAGGCAGGAGAATCGGTTGAACCCAGAGGCAGAGTTCTGAAGTAAGCTGAGATCACACTACTTCACTCCTGCCTGGGTGACAAGAGTAAAACTCCATCTTAAACAAACAAAAAAATGCTAGAAGATCTGCAGTTATGAACTTTGATAGCCATTAATTGACTAGATCTTCAACCTAAACTAGGGGCAAAAGGGGAGGAAAGAAAATGGAGTAGTAAAAAGAGCTAGATGGAAAAAGGAATGAAGTAAGAAGTGATATGCAAAATAATTGTCATCTTCTCCCTGCCTGATTCCCTCAGTCTAGTCAAGGTCTTTCCACCTGGCCACATTTCTTTTCCTCAGATAAAGCAAGCTCATTCTCAACTTAGGACTTTCAAACCAACTATTCCCTAAACTTGGAGTGCTTTTCTTATTTTGGCTGAGTTGTCTCCTTGTAGTTCGGGTTTCTGTTTAAATGTTACTCTAAAGAGATTTGCTTTGTAACATCAGTAATATTTTATTGTTTATTGTCTGTGCCATGCTTTGCAAATACATGTGTGCACACACTCAATAGTGCTCACTCACTCGTCCGCACTAGAATAATAAGGTCTAAGAGATCAAGGATTTTGTCTGTCTTGTCCACCCCATTTTTCCAGCACCTCACACATGATAGGTGCCCAGTAGATAATTTTTATGTGAATGAATACTATAGGAGCATGTTCATACAGAGTTAACCCAGTCTGGGGCTTCAGGGAAGGACTTCTAAGGAAGTGACATTTAAGCTAAGGAAATTAGTTAAGTGAAAAGTTGGGCAAAGCACAAGGTAATTATGATTGATAGGTGTAAGTGCAGGGACCTTCAGCTCAAATGCCCATAGATAATGATGTGAAGAGATAGGTTTTCATTTTGAAATCACTGGCTACTGTTGAAAATGCATTGGATCAGGAGTTATCCATGCAAGAGATGATGGTGGCTTGGAATAGAGCAGTAGCAGTGGGGCTAGAAAAAAGTATGAATTGGAAGATATTTAACATATAAAATTGCCCGGGCGCGGTGGCTCAAGCCTGTAATCCCAGCACTTTGGGAGGCCGAGCGGATCACAAGGTCAGGAGATGGAGACCATCCTGACTAACGCGGTGAAACCCCATCTCTACTAAAAAAACACAAAAAACTAGCCAGGTGAGGTGGCGGGCACCTGTAGTCCCAGCTACTCAGGAGGCTGAGGCAGGAGAATGGCGTAAACCCGGGAGGCAGAGCTTGCAGTGAGCTGAGATCCGGCCACTGCACTCCAGCCTGGGCAACAGAGCGAGACTCCGTCTCAAAAAAAAAAAAAAAAATTTGTCACAAATAAATTTTGTTAAAATTTTCTGTTTGTATCCAGAATGTACTTCCTTCCTTTACTCCTCCGAAGGTAAATTCCTTTTGCCATTTATTTGTTTAGAGACAGTTTCACTCTTGTTGCCCAGGCTAGAGTGCAGTGGCACAATCTCGTCCCACTACAACCTCCGCCTCCCGGGTTCAAGTGATTCTCCTGCCTCAGCCTCCTGAATAGCTGGGATTACAGATATGTGCCACTATGCCTGGCTAATTTTGTATTTTTAGTAGAGATGGGGTTTCACCATGTTGGTCAAGCTGGTTTCAAACTCCTGACCTCAGGTGATCCTCCCACCTCGGCCTCCCAAAGTGTTGGGATTACAGGTGTGAGCCACCGTGCCTGGCCTCCTTTTGCCATTTATTACACAAACTTTGTGACTTTATTCTCCTCCCTGGGCCAGATAAACGAAAAAGCACAAGAAATTCCTGCACTTCAGTTATATGTATTGTGATTTCTGTTTCTGGCAGCTCTTCTGTCTCAGTCCTCCAGAAATAAGATCTTGGTTTCTCTGTTTTGTAGTTCTTGGTTCGTTCATGGTAGCCATATCTGGGTTCTTCTTGAGTGTTTTCTGGAACTGCTCTGCTCTTTGGAGAAACCGAGTCATGAATTTCAGCCAGATCTATAGGATAAAAATGTTGTTTTCTCATTGAGTTTTTCTCAAGTGTACTGGGTTTCAGAGAGCTATCTCTGAATATATACTGCTTAAGCAGTGTATAATGAAGACTGTAGAGTGTATGTGCAAATATATAAATAATTAATGCCAGGGGTCATAAAAGCTAACCTCTCGGCCAGGCGTGGTGGCTCACGCCTGTAATCCCAGCACTTTGGGAGGCTGAGGCGGGCGGATCACGAGGTCAGGAGATCGAGACCAGGATGGCTAACATGGTGAAACCCTGTCTCTACTAAAAATACAAAAAAATTAGCCGGGCGTGGTGGCTGGCGCCTGTAGTCCCAGCCACCCGGGAGGCGGAGCTTGCAGTGAGCCGAGATCATGCCACTGGACTCCATCCTGGGCGACAGAGCAAGACTCTGTCTCAAAAAAGAAAAAAGCTGCCGGGCGCGGTGGCTCAAGCCTGTAATCCCAGCACTTTGGGAGGCCGAGACGGGCGGATCACGAGGTCAGGAGATCGAGACCATCCTGGCTAACACGGTGAAACCCCGTCTCTACTAAAAACACAAAAAACTAGCCGGGCGAGGTGGCGGGCGCCTGTAGTCCCCGCTACTCAGGAGGCTGAGGCAGGAGAATGGCGTAAACCCGGGAGGCGGAGCTTGCAGTGAGCTGAGATCCGGCCACTGCACTCCAGCCCGGGCGACAGAGCAAGACTCCGTCTCAAAAAAAAAAAAAAAAGAAAAAAGCTAACCTCTCAGTTATCCCATGAGGGTCATTAAGTCTGTTTTACAGATGAAGAAACTGAGTTATACAGTAACTATATGTGACTACCTATAGACATAAAGTTGAGAGGTCAGAGAAGTGAAAGGTATTAGGGACCAAGGCTTGGAATCATGACAGTTGTGTTTTGCTTATTATCTTGGTGTTTGGTTAAACAGGTCTTTCACTGGGAAGCAGACCACACAGCAACCGTAATCATGCTTCTGGTGCTCCTGTTACCTTTCTTCTGGTGAAAGGGATGCTGAGGATCTTTTAAGCAGTGCTCTTCCAGTTTCATTGCTGTACAACAAAGATCTAGACTGGATGGTGTTGAATGTGATATGCAGGAGGTTTTGTTTTCAGGCACATCAGTTGTTACTTCCCTTACTGCTTCATCGTTATTCTAAACGTAATGGAGAAAATAAAATGTTCACCCGTATTCTAGCGAACTATGAGAACTGATTTTTTTTTTTTTTTTTTTGAGACAGAGATTTACTGTTATTGCCCAGGCTGGAGTGCAATGGCACGATCCTAGCTCACCGCAACCTCTGCTTCCCGGGTTCAAGTGATTACCTCAGCCTCGCCTAGTAGCTGGGATTACAGGCATGTGCCACCATGCCCAGCTAATTTTGTATTTTTAGTAGAGACGAGATTTCTCCATGTTGGTCAGGCTGGTCTTGAACTCCTGACTTCAGGTGATCCGCCTGCCTCGGCCTCCCAAAGTGCTGGGATTACAGGCCTGAGCCACCGCGCCTGGCCCCGAGAACTGACTTATGTCTGCAGTAATGTGTGTAATTTCACTTGAGGAATATGGTTTTTGCCAATCCTCTTATAGCAGTAGCTTTTATCCAAGTATGTTCATCAAAATCACCTGTGGAGCTTCGAAAGCTGCAGATGCCTGGCCAGGCACTGTGGCTCACGCCTGTAATCCCAGCACTATGGGAGGCCAAGATGGGCAGATCATGAGGTCAGGAGATCGAGACCATCCTGGCTAACACGGTGAAACCCCGTCTCTACTAAAAATACAAAAAAATTAGCCAGGCGTGGTGGCGGGCGCCTGTAGTCCCAGCTACTAGGGAGGCTGAGGCAGGAGAATGGCGTGAATCTGGGAGGCGGAGCTTTCAGTGAGCTGAGATCACGCCATTGCACTCCAGCCTGGGCGACTAAGTGAGACTCCAGCTCAAAAAAAAAAAAAGAAAGAAAGATGCAGATGCCAGCTCTTAAAATTAAGCTGTGAATTAATTACTCTTGATTCAGATTTACACTGTTCCTGGATTCCTTGGGACACTATAAGCAAGTTTTGGGGTTTTTTTTGTTTTGTTTTTTATTGAGGCAGAGTCTTGCTGTGTCGCCCAAGCTGGAGTGCCGTGGTGCGATTTTGGCTCACTGCCAATGTCAAAACAGTATTCTTCATAATTTAAAAAAAAAAAAAAAAAAGAAAAAATATAATGGAATGCTATGGCAGCTATTAGGGATGGAGATCTTTATGGAATAATGTCAAAGATACATTGCATTGTATAAAAGGGTAAACTGGTACTTGTTTAGGCAGCACGTGTACTAAAATTGGAACGATACAGAGAAGATTAGCATGACTCCTGTGCAAGGATGGCACACAAATTCATGAAGCAGTCCACATTTTTAAGTATTTTTAAAAAGAAAAAAATTCAAAAGTAAAAAAATTTTATGTATTTATTTTCTTTATTTATTTATTTATTTTGAGATGAAGTCTCGCCTTGTCGCGCAGGCTGGAGTGCAGTGGTGTGATCTCGGGTTACTGCAACTTCCGCCTCCCAGATTCAAGCGATTTTCCTGCCTCAGCCTCCTGAGTAACTGGGATTACAGGCATGCGCCACCACGCCCAGAGATTTTTTTGTACTTTTAGTGGAGACGGGGTTTCCCCGTGTTAGCCAGGATGGTCTTGATCTCCTGACTTCGTGATCCACCCGCTTCAGCCTCCCAAAGTGTTGGGATTACAGGCATGAGCCACCACGCCCGGCCTGAACTTTTTTTTTTTTTTTTTTTTTTTGAGATGGAGTCTCCCACTGTTGCCCAGGCTGGAGTGCAGTGGCGCGATCTTGGCACACTGTAACCTCCACCTCCCACGGTGTAACAATTCTCCTGCCTCCACCTCCCAAAAGTAGCTAGGATTACAGGCGCCTGCCACCACGCCCAGGTAACTTTTTGTGTTTTTAGTAGAGATGGGGTTTCACTATGTTGGCCAGGCTGGTCTCAAACTCCTGACCTTGTGATCCGCCCACCTTGGCCTTCCAAAGCACTGGGATTACAGGCATGAGCCACTGTACCTGGCCACATTATACATTTTTGTAATCGAATGTTAATATACGATTTTAATTAGAAAAAATGAAAATACTGCTTTAAAAACACCACTTCCTGATGTATTTTCTGTGGAGTAGGGTCTAGGCATCTGTATTTCTTCCTTTTTTTGTTTTTGTTTTTGAGATTGAGTCTTGCTCTGTTGCCAGGCTGGAGTACAGTGGTACAATCTCAGCTCAGTGCAACCTCCGATTCCCTGGTTCAAGTGATTCTCCTGCCTCAGCCTCCCGAGTAGCTAGGACTAGGTGCGTGTTCCACTATGCCCGGACAATTTTTGTGTTTTTACTAGAGATGGGGTTTCGCCATGTTGGCCAGGATGGTCTTGACCTGATTTGACCTCCCAAAGTATTGGAGTTACAGGCGTGAGCCACTGTGCCCAGCGTGTTTTTTTGTTTGTTTTGTTTTGTTTTGTTTTGTTTTGTTTTGTTTTGAGATGGAGTCTCACTCTGTTGCCCAGGCTGGAGTGCAATGGCACGATATTGGCTTACTGCAACCTCTGCCTCCCGGGTTCAAGCTATTCTCCTGCCTCAGCCTCCTGAGTAGCTGGGATTACAGGCGCACACCACCATGCCCAGCTAATTTTTGTATTTTTAGTAGAGATGGACGTTTCACCGTGTTGGCCAGGCTGATCTTAAACTCCTGACCTTGTCGTGATCCACCCACCTCGCCTCCCAAAGTGCTGGGATTACAGACGTGAGCCATCGCATCTGGGCAGGCATCTGTATTTCTAAACTCCATAGGTGATTCTGATTCTCACAGAGGTGAAGGTTCTCGACTCAGAGTTTGCTTTCCTCTGAATTCTTTTTTTTTTTCTTTTTTTTTTTTGAGATGGAATCTCACTCTGTTGCCCAGGCTAGAGTGCAGTGGTGCGATCTGGGCTCACTGTAACCTCTTCTTTCCAGGTTCACCTGATTCTCCTTCCTCAGCCTCCTGAGTAGCTGGGACTACAGGCGCCTGCCACCACGCTCAGCTAATTTTTTGGATTTTTGGTAGAGACGGGGTTTCACCATGTTAGCCAGGATGGTCTCTATCTCCTGACTTCGTGATCCGCCTGCCTTGGCCTCCCAAAGTGCTGGGATTACAGGCGTGAGCCACCGCGCCCGGCCATATTTATTTATTATTTATTTGTTTATTTATTTATTTATATCTGAGACAGAGACTCACTCTATAGCCCTTGGCCTCCCAAAGTACAGGGATTACAGGCGTGAGCCACCGCGCCCTACCATTTTTATTTATTTATTTATTTATTTATTTATATCTGAGACAGAGACTCACTCTATAGCCCATTTATTTATTTATTTATATCTGAGACAGAGACTCACTCTATAGCCCAGGCTGGAGTGCAGTGATGTGATCTCGGCTCACTGCAGCCTCCGCCTTCTGGGTTCAAGTGATTCTCCTGCCTCAGGCTCCCAAGTAGCTGCAATTACAAATGTGCACCACCACGCCCAGCTAATTTTTGTATTTTTTAGTAGAGACAAGGTTTCACCGTGTTGGCCAGGCTGGTCTCAAACTCCTGACCTCAGGTGTTCCGCCTGCCTTGGCTTCCCAAAGTGCTGGGATTACAGGCGTGAGCCATCGTGCCTGACCCTGACCAACATTTTAAATGCTTCACCTTAACATTTAACTAGAAACCCTACTGGTTTAGTTTCCTAGGTCTGTAGGTGTTACCATGGCCTCACATTTATAATTTGGTTTTTCAAACTGGCAAGAAATCAGAATCGTGGAAGTTCCTAGCGTAGCACTTCATAGTTCATGTTTATAGTGGCAGCCAAGAGCTGTGGCCACACTGGCTTCTCGAAGCCATCTTGTACCCTTCCATAGTACAAACTATTTCAAAGCAAAATGAAATGCCTAAGCTTGTGTTTGTTACGTTACTGCCTTCTGCAGTCAAGTAGCATTGTTCCTTCTTTACATTTTCTAGCTCCTCAGTGCAGGGGTGGAGGGTGGGTGAGGAAAATCACAACAGTACTCTTTCTTTTAAAATTGAGCTATGAATTAATTACTCTTGATTCAGATTTACACTGTTCCTGGATTCTTGGGACGCTATAAACAAGTTTTGGGTGTTTTGTTTTGAGACAGAGTCTTGCTCTGTTGCCCAGGCTGGAGTGCAGTGGTGCGATCTCAGCTCAGTGCAAGCTCCACCTCCTAGGTTCACGCCATGTCCTGCCTCAGCCTCCCGAGTAGGTGGGACTACAGGCGCCCGCCACCACGCCCGGAGATTTTTTTTACTTTTAGTGGAGACGGGGTTACAGGCATGAGCCACTGCGCCCAGCCTAGCTGCTAGTTTTATGTGTTCAACAGGGCATTTAACTTAGCCTTGCTAGATGGCCTTACTGAAGTGCTATGCTCTGTTTAATTGTGTGACCTTAGGTGATTTATTTCATCTAAATTTGGTCTATTTGTGAGATAGAGATAACATCTGAATGGCTTATTTCACAGGATGGTTTTGAAGATTAAATGAGATAATGCGGTAGCACTTTGTAAACTGTAAAGTATAATGCAAATGTATTATTTTTCTAGGAATCTTATAGCAGACTCAGCAAATGTTTAGGTAAAAATTATGTCAATTTTAGATTTTTTTCTTTATAATACTGTGATATAAACCATACGAGTTGGCTAAGTAGGACAACTGAGGATCTCAAACTGAGGTTTGAGTACATACTGTAAAGCCACACTCCCACGTTTGTAGTCCAGTCTCCTCAGTTACTAGCTTCAACTAGTAACTCTTGGGAGTACTGTAAATAATAAATGAGTAGGCAGGGCACTGTGGTTCACCTGTAATCCAAACACTTGCGGAGGCCAAAGCGGGATAATTGTGTGAGGCCAGGAGTTTAAGAGAAGCCTGGGGCCCAGCACAGTGGCTCACACCTGTAAACCCAGCACTTTGGGAGGCTGAGGTGGGCGGATGGATCACGAGGTCAGGAGTTCGAGACCAGCCTGACCAACATGGTGACCCATCTCTACTAAAAATACAAAAATTAGCTGGATGTGGTGGCACGTACCTGTAATCCCAGCTACTCAGGAGGCTGAGGCAGGAGAATCCCTTGAACTTGGGAGGCGGAGGTTGCAGTGAGCTGAGATCACACCACTGCACTCCAGCCTGGGCGACAGAGCAAGACTCCGTCTCAAAAAAAAAAAAAAAGAAGAAGAAAGAGAAGCCTGAACAACATAGGAATATCTTGTCTCCACCAAAAAAAATGGAAAAAAATAGCCAGATTTGGTGGTACAAGCCTATAGTCCCAGCTACTTGGGAGGATAGCTTGAGCCCAGGAGATCGAGGCTGCAGTGAGTTGTGATCAGGCCACTGTACTCGGCAACAGAGCAACACCCTGTATCTAAACAAAATTTTTTAAATAAATGAGTAAAGTGTTTGTAATAGTACCTGGCACGTAATAAGCACTCACTATTATTAGATACTTCCGTGAAACTTTGAAGATAAACATGGCTGGTTGAACCACATGGGTCTACTCCCTTTGAAAATCTCACACAAGTAATGGTCAAAGGATTTTTATTTTATTTTTTTTTCTTTTTTTTTTTTGAGACGGAGTCTCGCTCTGTCAACCGGGCTGGAGTGCAGTGGCCGGATCTCAGCTCACTGCAAGCTCCGCCTCCCGGGTTCACGCCATTCTCCTGCCTCAGCCTCCCGAGTAGCTGGGACTACAGGCGCCCGCCACCTCGCCCAGCTAGTTTTTTGTATTTTTTAGTAGAGACGGGGTTTCACCGTGTTAGCCAGGATGGTCTCGATCTCCTGACCTCGTGATCCGCCCATCTCGGCCTCCCAAAGTGCTGGGATTACAGGCTTGAGCCACCGCGCCCGGCCTATTTTATTTTTTTGAGACGGAGTTTCACTCTTGTTGCCCAGGCTGGAGTGCAATGGCACAATCTCCACTCACTGTAACCTCTGCCTCCCAAGTTCCAGTGATTCTCCTGCCTCGGCCTCCCGAGTAGCTGGGATTAGAGGCGCCCACTACCCACACCCAGCTAATTTTTTTGATTTTTAGCAGAGACAGGGTATCACCATGTTGGTCAGGCTGGTCTCGAACTCCTGACCTCAAGTGATCCACTCGCCTCGGCCTCCCAAATTGCTAGGATTACAGGCGTGAGCCACCACACCACCTGGTCAATAAGATTTTTAAAGAGACAAGAAAAATAGGAAAAAGACAAGTAGAGAAGAGATGTCAGAAAGCAGCTAGAAAACTACTTACTGACCAGAAAAAGCTAAAAATTAAGTAGGACTGAATTTAGGAAGAGCCAAGAAGGTACAACAAACCAGTTTGTGTAACAGGATTCTGGAAAGGCCACT